AGAAAGCAGGAAATCACCCCCCAGGGGGGATGGCCACGCCGCAATCCCTTCTCCTCCATTCTCCTCTCGGGATCTTGGGCACGCACGCACACGCGCCCGGCGTGAGTTTAAGCCACCGGGTCCGGGACTCGAACCGCGGTCGACTACGTGGGAGTCCAGCGACATAGCCATTACTCTAACTGCTGGTCCAGCTTTCTCTCTTTTTAAGAGAGATTTTTGCAATAGGGTGTGTGTGCTAGCCGGAGAGACAGAAAGTGAGAAATCATCCCTTGGTTGATGCAGCTGTGCTGCAATCCCTTCTCCTCCATTCTCCGCTTGGGATTTGGGGCACACGTGCACACATGCCTGGTGTGAGTTTTAAGCCACTGGGTCTGGGACTTGAACCACAGTTGACTACATGGGAGTCCAGTGACATAACCATTATGCCATCTGCTAGTCCCTAGACAATTACTTAGTCAGGATCTTGTGATTAAGGGAGCTGGATCCCACATGACTGACCGTGCTGTTTGAGTCTCAAATCTAGTGGCTCGAAAAACATGGTGGGCAGGACTGGCAGGTGGCATAGTGGTTAAGGCGCTGGGCATATTCACATGACTGACCATGGTTCCAATCCCAGACCTACTTTCTCACTTTCCCTCCCTCTCTGTGTGCCTCTCTCTGGTCAAATTAAGATAAATGTATGAATAAGTAAATAAATAATTATTATAAAAAAGTAAAGAAAAGAAAAACATGGTGGGGACATGTGCATGCATGCCCAAAATCCTAAAATCAGAGAGAAATGAAAAAGGGAATGCAGTATAATCATTCACCATGGAGGGTGTTTTCTCCCCCTCTCTGTCTCTTTGCCTCTGTCTGACTTGGGTATGCATGTCCCCTCTGACAAATTAAAAACAACAACAACTGGAGCCGGCAAGTGGCGTAGTGATAAGGGACGCTGGACTCCCACATGGTCGACCACAGTTCGAGTTCTGGACCTGGCATGTTTGAGGTTAAGAGTTTACATGGATTGGGACTGGCAGGTACACTGGACTCCTACATGGCTGACTGTGGTTCAAGTCCTGGACCTGGCGGCTTGGTTTCTTGCTTTCCCTCTCTCTCTTTCCTCCTCTGTCCCTCTCTGGGACAATGAAAATAAATAAATTAAATTAATAAATTAATTAATAAAATCAAATTAAAATAATTCTAAAAAATTAAAAAGAGTTTATGTGGATAGGGCCAGTAGGTGGTGTGGAGGAGGTAATGGTGCTGGATTCCACATGGCTGATGGAGTGCTTCAAGTTCCAGACCTGGCAGCTTGAAAATCATACCTTGTGCGCCTAAAATCCCAAGAGGAGACTAGAGGAGAGGAATTGCAGTGTGACCATCCCCCTGGGGGGTGTGATTGCTCACTTTCTCTCTCTCTTTTTCTCTCTGGTGAGCACATGCATCCTATAGAAAAAAAAAAAATGAGTTTACTTGGATGAAAAGTGGATGTTAAATTTGGCACTTAAATCATTCTTTTTAACTTCTTACAAAGTCAGTTTTTAAAAATTGAGGTGAATTTATACAGCAGTACCTTCCTTTTTGACACTCCTGGTTCTTCTTCTATGCCACATTTCTAGAATTAGCCATTTCTCTGAAGACTACTGGTCCTTTTTATTGGAAAGTGGTGTTAGAAATGAAGATCTGCCTTTAATGTGTTTTTTTCCACACTTTCTTTTTCTGTTCTAGTTATCATGGTTTGGGACTCCAGAGGCCACGTCAACAGCAGCCCGTTCCAAATAGTGATGCTGTCTTGAATTGCCCTGCCTGCATGACCACACTATGTCTTGATTGCCAGAGGTAATGGATGGAGGGTAAACATACACAAAACAAAAACCAACTTGGTGGTCCTTTGTTTAAATCAGAAATAGACTTTTTAGGTACTTAAATAATTCTGATAATGTTTTGTACTCATTCTTGGTGCTATATCACTAATCTTTATACAAAACACTTTGGCTATATGTAGGTCTTTTTTTTAAAGAATTATTTTATTTAACTTTATTTATTTATTTATTTTACTTTGATCAATGAGGGACAGAGAGAGAGAAAGAGAAGGAAAGTGAGAAGGCAAACTGCCAGGTCTGGGACTCAAACCACAGTCGACCGTGTGGGAGTCCAGTGCCCTTAACCACCATGCCACCTGCCGGCCCCCTATTTTTTTCTTTTTAAGAATTATTTGTTTAATTTTATTATTATTTTCATGTTTGGTACAAGGCACGCACACTCACCAGAGAGAGAAAGAGAGAGAGAGAGGTGGAGAAAGACAGTGAGAAAGCAAGCCGCCAGGTGCCCTATAACACCTAAAAATAAATAAAATAAATAAATAATTCTTTAAAAAAATCCAAATCAACAATATGGACATGATCTGAGAAATGTGTCCTTAAGTGATTTCATCATTGTGCAAACATCAGAGTGTACTTACACAAACCTAGGTTGCATAGCCTGCTACCTACCTAGGCTCTACGGTATAGGCTGTAAGCCTATGAAGCGTGTTATTGTATTGAATAGTGTAGATAAGTGTAACACATGGTGTCTGTATACCAAACACATCTAAGTATAGAAAAGGGACAGTAAGAATATGGTATGGAATAAAAAAAAATGGTATATCTGTGTAGGGCCCTTACACTGAGCTTATGGGACTAGACGTTGCTCTGGGTGAGTCAGTGAATAAACAGTAAGTAAATTTGAAGACCTAGGAGTTTATTGTACACTATCGTAGACTTTATAAACACTATCCATTAAAGCTATGCTAAATTTATAAAAAAATAATTTTCTGGCTGGCCTCATGGTCTGGTGGTTAAGGGAGCTGGATTATATGTGTCTGACTGTGATTTGAATCATGACCCTAGCAGCTTGAAAAAAATATCAAGTGTATGCTTGTCCCAAATCCTATCAGGTTGGAAAAATGGAGGAGAAAGAATTGTGTTCTTGCCTCACCGGGGGTTCTTTTTCCCTCTCCCTCTCCTTCTGTCCTTTTCCCTTTCTGGCAAGTGCACATACCCTGTAGCAAATTGAAAAATACCTTTTTTCCCCCCTCCTTCAGTAATAAATTGATTAGGCCAACTGATGGTACAGTCGGTAGCAAACTGATGCTAGAAGCTGTCTGTCTGACTGATGTGAGTTCGGATCTGTGGTTGGCCTGAAAAGATGCATGCAGGTGTGCCCAGGATCCTGACAAGCCGGAGGACTGGGGAAAGGACATCGTGGTGTTATGAGACCCTGTTGAGGGTGCTTCTCTCATTTTCTCTCCCTCTTTCTTGTTATTCTCTTACAATAATAAAAGTAACTTACGAAGTTTATTCATGATAGTGTGTATGAGACCACACATGCTCTCTGTCATGAATAAAATGAACAAACTTGGGCCAGCAGGTGGTGTAGAGGTTAAGGTGGCTGGATCCTACATTGTCGACTATAGTTCAAGTTCTGGACTCAGCCACTTGAAAAACAGGCTGAATGTTCATGTGGGCATGCCTAAAATCCTGAGAGGAGATTGGAGAAGGGATTGTGGCATGGCCATCTCCCAGGGGGTGATTTCTCACTTTCTCTCTGACTGTTATGAATGCATATACCCTATAGCAAAAACCTAACACAATGAAGTCAGCAGGTAGCATAGTGGTTATAGCGTTGGACTCCCACATGGCTGACTATGATTCAAGTCCTGGACCTGGGGGATTGAAAATCACGTCAGGTGCATGTGTATGCATTCCCAAAATCCCAGGAGGAGAATGGAGAAGGGATTGCAAGTGGCTATCACCCCCAGGGAGTGATTTCCACTTTCCTTCTCACTGTCTGTCTCTCTCGAGTGAATGCACACACCCTATGGCAACCTAAAACAAACAAACAAACAAACAAAACCTAAAACAAAACAATATCATTTATACTATTAAAAAAAATGTTGGGGGACCAGCAGGTGGTGTGGTGGTTAAGGGCACTGGACTCCCACATGGGCGACCACGGTTCCAGTCCCGGACCTGGTGACTTGCTTTCTCACTTTCCCTTTCTCTCTCTCACTCTATCCCTCTCTGGTCAAATTAAAACAAACAAATGAATAAATTTAAAAAAAGAACACTATGTTTCCCACTTATATACCCATTAAAGGACTGTTAACCCATTTTTTAAGAAAAATGTTGGGGACCAGCAGGTGGCACCGTGGTTAGGGTGCCAGACAGTCCCATGTGGCTGACCGCAGTTCAAGTCCCAGACCTGATGGATTGCTTTCTCACTTTCTCTCTCTCTCTGGTCAAATTAAAAAATGAATGAATAAATAAAATTAAATCATTTATAAAAGAATTATTATTTATATTTTTCTTTTTTTGGAGAGATTTTTGCTATAGGACATGTGTGCTTGCCAGACAGACAGACAGAGACAGAGAGATAGAAAGCGAGAAATAACCCTCCAGGGGGGATGTCCATGCCGCAATCCCTTCTCCTCCATTCTCCTCTTGGGATCTTGGGCATGCACGTACATGCACCCAGCATGAGTTTAAGCCTCCAGGTCTGGGACTTGAACCGCGGTCGACTACATGGGAGTCCAGCGAAATAGCTATCGTGCTAACTGCTGGTTCCAAAAGAATTATTTTTAATTAATTAATTTATTATTTTTTTTTATGAGTTTTGCCATAAAAATACAGAGAGAGAGAGAGAGAGAGAGAGAGAGAGAAAGTGAAAA